GCTTATACTTACAGTACAATTCAGCATTTAAAAGCCTATACGGGACTAAACTTGATCGAGTCTTGGAATTTCTAACTTTTGAAAGAGAAGTAATACAATTTCAATGCTTATATTCCGAAACGACAATCGGCGAGCATACTAAAGTCAGAAGTGTAACAATGCAGTGGCTCATTTTCTTGGAACCGTCATATAACTAGCCTCCTACGTCTCATAATGAACTGACAAAGAGGGTTCATGTCAACTCATGATGTCCCAAACTTATGATGAGTCTGACGGATGAAATTTTCTCTTCCCTTCAATGCAAGGCTGCCGTTGTTTGAAGCGGATATTAACTATGCTCTGAGCTTTTTTATATGCATCAAAACAATATCTTCATTGCGAGGATATGGGTACCTTGCCCCATGGTACCTCTATGTTCGTCCTTGTACTTGATCGCGCTTCATCATTTTCATCACATTTTCTACCAGATTATTTAGTGCACCGCTCCCTCAATTTCTCTTTTTTTTCCTTTAAGAAAAATATTGAAACCTTTACAGTATCAAAATACTACTTCTGATCAGATTCAATTAACAAAAGGTACATCTCTAAAAAGCTTCGGTGGAATACAATGGGGAAAGGCTCCATTCAGTACTATGAACCTTTGACAGATATTAACTGTATGTCGCTTTCCAACGAGGAAATATTCAAGTACGCGGATCTGCAGTGGAAGTGAAAACCTTCCGCTCATGATCTTCTCACTGCTCGTGGACCTCAGTTTGGAGTTTGGATGCTCAAGTACAAGTCAGTGAGCTCAAGAAAATCACGCAGTCCACAAAGATAGTATGCTACTTTTATAATCTTTGGTTCCAATAACCAAACCAAAGTGATTCAGGTTGCCCCTTCATGGAGAAATAAATATATATATATAAAAAAAAGTTCACTATTCTGGAGTTTGACCGTGGCATCAAACGGCCGAGTGTGATTCTATTATTGGTTTGGTCACTGTTAATCCAGTGTATATAAACGCAATATTTATATATATTTATATATAAACGCAATAACCTCAGCTCGTCTTCGTAGGGGCTTCGGTCCAAAGGAGAGAGAGAGAGAAAGAAAGAGGAAGAAAGACGAGAAAATCAGCCTTCAGCGTTGCCGCCAGCACAGCGTTCATTAGGAACAGAGTAAGATGTGTGTGTGTGGAGACTGAGTCTGGAGACATTGTTCGGCCGGATCCGGCCACTAGCTGAATTTTCTTACATCCGGAACTTGACATAGATTTAATTTCCAAAATGAAGAGCCGGAATTTATAATACAACACATTTCTTTTGTATTTCTCTAGATTATCACACACACATCTGTGCAGATTATTTCAATAGGAATTCAAGATGCTAGAGAACAATGAAATGTATATTTGAACAACATGCAATTTATTTGCGATAATCCCGTTTAAGGCGCATTCTCGGTCAAGATTTCTACACATAATGTTATCTACGCAATTTGTACAAATGCAATGCAATGATCGCTAGCCATGTATCACAATTTTCAAGTCATGTTCATAAGTAACATTCGCAATCAGAAGAAAATGTGAACTTCAGCCCCTGAAACCACAACACAGGACTTTCTTTAATGAATCTAGCATTTTTGCATATATATATATATATATATATATATAATCATACTTTTGATTGTTATATAACAAACACATCGCATCAAATTCATGTGTGTTAAAAGCAATCCGATAATGGATTGCTAGTACAAGCATGCATCTTTAGTCTTAAATTCATCTTAACCATCTTCAGTAATTTTATTCCACGTATCTCAAAGTAAAAACATTATAAATTTTAGTTGAAATTTTTCCTCTAGTAGACTTTAGGTTTTATAGTGATAAGAGTATAAATCGCACCTAGATTTGATTTTGTAGGAAATTTAGTCCTTTTTTAAATAATTAGAGAGAAATTTATAACCATTTAAAGATTTACACAAATCAAACTCAAATCTTCTTCTTTAAAGCAGTCCCAACTTTTTCCCAAAATTAAATTTTTTTTTGGTATTATGAGTTTTGTATCAGAATAATTTTTAATAAATAAGATTTAGATGATTATCTTTTACAAATTTTTTGAAAATTTATTGATTATATTAAAACTTCATATGATATAAATGAATATTATTTTTATCAATCTATCATTTAAATTCACTTTCAAATTATTATTTTATGTAAATTTAATTCATAATACATCTTTTTATTGACTCATAGCAAATTATATTTATATCAAACTTCACAATACATGTACTTTGTAGCTAAATATATATTGACAGATATATAAATCATAAGAAAATTATTTCCATTTTGAGTTACAAAGCTTTCAATTTTTTTTAAGTAGTTGTCATCATAGTTATACTTTCAAAGCTTGACTCCAAACTAATGCAACATGCCATACTGGAAACTCAACTCTTATCATGAAACAAATGATTTTAATAAGGCATATATAGCTACTTTTACTAACTGCATCAGTAGCTCTTATAATTTTTCATATATATAATCATGCATATGTACATTCGTCATGATATAATTTCATAAGTTGTGATTAAAATTATACACCTATGTATCAAATAATTTTCACACTAATGAAAATTAAACAAAGAATCAATTTCTAATTTTTATTAAGATCAACATTGGATATTAAAATTTTTCATTATTAGTCATAAATTTACAAGTCATTGTAGATAGAGTTCATATTGCTCGGCTATTCATTGTCAAAAGAATGTTTAACATGACATATACTATAACATAGTATACCAACATTCGCAACTTCTGTTCGTCCGTAGTAGAACAAAATCAAGTAGCAAGTGGGATCCAGAAGGGTGCACTTTGCAGTACAATCTCTACAAAATCAAGTAATTCGGATGAGATAAGAAGTTTCAACAGAGTTAGGTTTGGTTTCATGGACCCACATAATTTTTTCAATAAGAAAACAAGTAACTTGATCGGATTATTTTAGCAGCCATCAATAATAATCTATGGCAAAATGAAGATAGAATCTTTTTTTTCTATTTTCTTTTAGGTACTCGTTTATAGAGAGGTGAAGACAAGGATTTTATGAAGGCTAGTAACAGGATGTCTACTTTTATACATAGAATTCGTTATTGTATCATTTGATTATACAGCCTTCGATGACGTCAAACCAGAAAGAAAATTTTCAAATTAATTTTTTTTTTGTAGAAAATGAGATTGAAATTCACAATGAATCAAGATAAAGTATACTGATCAACATCAAAACATAAAATCCTGTTGTGGTAAAAATCACCAAGAAATGAATTTATTGCTATGGTTTCATTAGGTTCATCAGCTTCAGCCATACTTTTAGACGATATAAAATACTTCAGAGATTTTTCGACATAGAGAAGAGATGGGAAGATTGAACCTCTTGAATACTCTTCAATGTTTAGGTGACGAGTTCTAAGTTGAGTTTTAAACGTGCATATTTAGTATGTATATACATACATACTAGCTGGCAAAAAAAGTGTTGCTTACGAGAACATTTTAACCTTATTGATAAGGAAAACACATTTTTTATGTAGGAGAACTTTCACAATGTTTCAAATGTCATTGCACAGCCATCGTATTTCACAACATATTGGCTAATGGATGATTTTGCTTGACCGTCTGCAACCTCATTTTCTCTGGTTTTCTATCTCCATGAATCAGAGTACTGCATCACACCTAAAAAGCATACCCGATCCATGCCCACGTATTTTGCGCTTGTGGTACCCATACCGGACCCATATCCAAAGAGACAAAACCGAAACCCCAAACGAACCCGTTAGCTCTGTGCGAAGTCAAAAAATACTCCACGACCTGTTTGCTGAGTAACCCTATTTCTAAATCACATTAAGAAAAGTCCAACCCGAAACCGAACCGGACCTTTCTAGCTTGGTCCAAACCCGACCCATACCCATCGGTTCGGGTTTCGGGTATGGGTACCCGATGCAGTACTCTGCCATGAATCCAAGGAAGCAAAGTACAGTAATAACATCTTGAGAAGATAAACACTTCTCTTAAGCAGCAGAAGCTCCGTACTATGGAATATAGGTAGATTTGGCAAAAAAGCTTGCTCGCTTTCAACATTTGATTGCTCATCAATGGTAAATTGCAGAAGGAATGAAGAAAATTGTTTAGCATTTTAAGCGAAATAATAAGAGTATGTTGGAAAAAATCAAATTGAGTATGATTTTAATTGGTTCATAGGGGGTGGTCAGTTATGTCATGGTTACTAATTCGTCATATTTTTACAACAGATAAGACTGAAATCTTACACCCACATATAAACATAGATTTCTATAACAGATGAAACTGACACATAAACATGAAATAACTTACACAGCATGATATGTAAAAACATGAAATGAATGGTTTGTTTTTTGGACAGTATTCAATGAATTAAAAAAACCTGAAAGGAAGGCCCCGTAAGCTTATCTTGCAGCTTGTCAGTCAGAAAGTTACAAGGATACGCAGAAGGCATGGAGAGGAAAAAAATTATGGTCTTTTAAGGTCAAACGGTTGTGTTGCCCAACAAATTGAATGCAGAGCCGTTGTTTGTGGACACCGGGTTATAGTCTTTTCTGCAAACTCGAAGGCAAGAACTGAATCGTCTCATCACGGCCATGTCAACAAACACCCAGCGCGCCCACGTCGGATTCGGGGGAAGACAAAACCCAGATCCGCAGGTCGCGAATCGAACGGACAAAACGGAGGCTGGGGCCCTCGGAGCCAGCGGAACGACAAGTGTCCAGATCGGGGAGTCCACGTGGGCAAGTCCACGCTTCGCTGCCCGCTCCAAGCAGTAAGGAGGGAGTGAGGTCGGACGCGTAGGTCTGACCGCGGCGCAGCAGAGACACATAAATGCTTCCGGCCGTTGGGACATGACCGTTGGACCGGGGGGGGGGGGGGGGGGGGGGGGGGCTCATGAAGCCTGCGTTTTTCGAATTTACGGCCGCGACAGTGTCTGCGCCGCTCTGCTTCGGCTTCGGCTTCACCGTCTCTCTCGGTCTCTCGTGCTCGCTCGCGGTTCTTGAGTCTTGACTTCATCGGAACGAAGCTCGTCGCCTGCCGGGAGGGAGGAAGGGAGGGATGGATCCCGAATGACCAGAATTTCCGCTCTGCTTCCGGTGTCAGATGGCATGACCTCTTTCCGGCCCATCTCTCACGTTCTCCCCGCAGACGGCAATCATCGTTTTTTGCGCTGAGAGCCGAGCATTCGGGGCAAGGTGTCGACAGGGGAAAGAGACTGACTAAATTCGGAGCTATTCAATTCGGTGGCAGAAAGAAGTCGGTCCTGTCGAGTCGAGTCGAGCTGAGTTGAGTTGAGCGGGGAGGGATGATGGGCATATGCTGCTGCGCCTTCTCTCCAGCTGCGGACTCGAGCATGTTGCTTCGTGAGGATCTCGCTCTGGAAGGAATGCTGTTTTCAGGGAATGTCGAAGGGATCTCCAATGTTTTGATCGACAAGGCCGTGCATGGGAAGGGGAAGGAGGGTCTGGGTTTTTGACATAGGACATCGAAATTGCCGCAGCAGCGCAGTTTCGGGATGGGATGGATGGACTGGGATGGCAAGGCAAGGCAAGGCAACTCATGATGCATGGAGCTCGAGTACAGAATATCATTCCGCGATAGAGACTCTGCGAATAACTCAGCTGGATTGCGTCTGAGGACAGGTTTCATATAAACATAAAGGTTCGACGAGACAATTTCGAACAGGCAGGGGAGCATCCGCGTGGGCACGTATTTCTTCGAAGGTTTGAGGATATCAAGACATATTTGTCCCGTGACAGACACAGGAAGAAACCAGAGCGTGATTTTTCACGAATACGAGGAGCATTGTGAAGGACGGAGGGTTGACCAGGAGAGGCCAGCATGCTGCTGTGATTCGGTGTGACACCAGCATTGTTGGAATAACCGGAAGGGCAGGGCAGGGGAGATCACGATGCCTCAAACCGTGCCCCCATCAGCGAGCAGGGCTCGGGTGAAAGAAAAGCTGCAGACGTCGGAGCAGACACCGAGAATCGGCGTCGGGGGCGACAGAGGAATGGATCCCATGCAGGTGATACAGGAAGGAAGGCCGATGACGCGGTCGCAGTCGAGGATCAGAGAAAAGTATGCGCCATTCTCGCAGGATAAATCCTGCACGGGCATGAAGGACATGAACCGGGCTCCGTTCGCGCTTCAGCTGGAGAAGTCGATGACGAAGTCCAGCCATGCGAGCGTGAGCCTGCTGACCCCGAGGGTGAAGCACTCGCAGGAAAACCACCAGCAGCAGCAGCAGCAGCAGATGAAATCAGCAGCAGCAGCAGGAGCAGGAGGAGGAGGAGGAGGCAGGCGGAGTTCTCTGGCTGAGCAGAAGGTGTATCTGACGGACGGGGACCACGGCCGGGGCTCGCCCATGGACGTTGACCTCGTGACGCCCAAGGTGAGCCATCTGAGCTCAACGGTTCTGGGCGTGTACAACAGGGTCAAGGAGAATGAACGCGGAGGCGCTCGAAATGCCGAGACCTCAACGTCTGCGACATGCACAGCGCGCGCCCGCGTGAGCTACGCGTCGGGCTTGAAGCCTGCTGTTGTGGCCAGTGAGCCGCTCTCGTTGATGAAATCCGGCCTGAGGACGGCTGGTTTGAGGGCTAGGCAAGTGCACGAGGACATGGAGCGCGGAGGAGACGAAGGAGGTGGAACGAGAATCATGGTCTACGTCCGCTTGCGCCCCATGTCGAAGAAGGAAAAAGAGGCTGGAGCCCGGAGCTGTGTGAAGATTGACAACAAGCGTGATGTTTATCTCACCGAGATGGCCCTCGAAACAGACTACCTGAGGCTGAAAAGGCTCCGTGGCCGCCATTTTGCTTTCGACGCTGCTTTTCCGGATAATACTTCTCAGCAGGAGGTTTATCAGACGAGGTGAGAGAGTTTGGTCATTTTGTACACCCTCTCAAGACGTGTACATTCACAACAGTTGTGCAGCTACTTTCGACGAATGATCACCCTGGTTATACTTGCAGGAACGAGACGGACTTCGATCTAGAATATACAATGTGCACATCGAATATCTCTGGTTCTGCTTTTGCAAGAGTGTGTACAGTATCCATCTCCATTTATTGATATTTTTTACGGAAGTGTGCAGTGCTGCGGAACTCGTGGAGGGGGTGCTTGATGGAAGGAATGCATCGGTTTTTTGTTACGGGGCAACAGGAGCAGGGAAAACGCACACCATGCTCGGGACTGTGCAGCAACCAGGCGTGATGGTGCTAGCATTGAAGGACTTGTTTACCAAATTGAAACAGAGGAGTCCGGAGGGTGAGCATGTCGTGCGGCTTTCTTACTTAGAGGTCTACAACGAGAGTGTGCGCGACTTGCTCTCGCCTGGTCGGCCCCTGGTGCTACGTGAAGACGCTCGACAGGTTAGTTTTTCTCTGCCTCCTCTGCATGGAACATCACTCCCACATGGGCAGAAGTGCTACACCTTCTTACTGTTTGTATTATGCCAGGTTGGCAATACTAAGCGCTGAGAGGCTTTTCAAAGACAGATTTTGCGCCCTCAGTTCCCGGATACATATCTTAGGCGTTGATGCTATAGAAATTAAGAGGTGGTCTTTACTTGCACACATCGAACAAATCTGAAGTATTTGCATGGTAACCTTGTCGTAAGAAGTATGAACATTAAATGTTTGGTACCATAGTGGAGTCTGATAGATTGTGTGTCCGTTTTCAACAGGGGACTATTGCAGCTGGTCTCACCCAGTACCAGGCCTTTTCTGCCGACGAGGTGACTACTCGTCTACATCAAACACCTTGAATTCTAGGTGATGTCATCATGCTGAGACTGCAGCCACCATGCAATGCTGATCCATTAATATACTTTACCTACAGGTTATGACGCTACTGCACAAGGGAAATACGAATCGCCAAACAGAGCCCACTAGAGCCAATGAAACTTCGTCGAGGTCTCATGCCATCTTGCAGGTCAGTTGCTATTCTCCACACTCCCATCTTGTAGTATCAATAAACTTGAAGAGCCCCGTGGTTATGATAGCCTATATTTACAGTAGCCAAATGCAGAAGGAGAAACAAGTTCTGAGATGGTGATATGCCATTAAGATGTTAGCGTACGGTATCTCATGGGTGTATGGTCTCGTAGAGTGAGAGGAGTGGTGTAGGCCTACTGACCGCGCTTTCATCGGTTTTCACAGTTTTCGACGCGTCCGTTTGGAGAGACATTAACCATTTTAGGTTTTTATCTAGCCATGCATGCATTTTAGCCTTGGTCCATGTCGGGTACATTTTGGTGTATATGAGTTCATGGTTTTATGCTATTTCAGGTTGTGGTGGAGTACTCAGTGCATCAAGACTTTGGAAAAGCTACTAGACTCGGCAAGCTTTCTCTGATAGATTTGGCCGGATCAGAGCGCGCCTTAGCGACTGATCAGAGAACTTTGAGGTCCGTGGAAGGCGCTAACATCAATCGATCTCTTCTGGCGTTGAGCAGTTGCATCAATGCCCTCGTGGAAGGGAAGAAACACATTCCTTTCCGAAACTCAAAACTTACTCAACTTCTCAAGGTAAACCATTCCCCTTCTCCCCATAAGGAAGGAATTTTGGGTAATAATAGTCGTGTGAGGAGGTCATGAGTAGAACATGATTTATTGACTTCCTTCTCATCGTGATCAATTTACGGAGCATAACCCAAAATTAATATGCCGCATCATTTAGCTGTTTGTTGACAATCACACAAAGAGTTGAGAAACATCAGAGCAAATGCTAAAACTGATCATGGTACAACTATCTGAATTGTTTCGAGGTTTGTGATGTATTAATGCAGGATTCCTTGGGAGGTGCATGTTCAACTGCCATGATTGCAAATGTGAGTCCCAGTAATGGATCTTTCGGAGAAACTCAAAACACGCTTCATTGGGCTGATCGTGCTAAGGAGATCAAAACGAAGGTGAGTGCGCGAGTGACCTATTTTCAATCGTACCAGTTTCTTCGCATATGAACATCCGAGCAAACAATCATCGATTTCACGAGTTATCTAACAAATATTGCGGTGAGAAGATGCGCACTTAGTATATTTTATACGCACAGGTTGATTGATCTGGACTTTTATGAACCGCTTCGCTTTTCCTACTAGATTTATATATGCTTCATAATTACATATTGCAGGGAAGTGAAGTGAATGACGAGCTACAGTTGCCGGAAGATCAAGACGAGAAGACGAAGTTGCTGATGCAAATACAGAAAGAGAACCAGATGTTGCGGTTGCAGTTGGCACGATTGGAGAGAACGTTTTTAGCGAATCAAAACTGTGGTACTCCGGCAGCAATAGGTTCAACACCTTTCACCCCTGCCATGCCATCGGAAAGAAATCCACTGGACTCTTTGGCACCGTCAGAGACCCTGGCGAGAAGGGGAGAACAGAAAACTATGGCAGAGAAGAAGATTTGGGAGCTACAAAGGACTGTTGAGTTGCTAGAGATGGAGGCAGAGAAAACAAGAAGGGATGGCGCGCTGAGAGAGGAGAAGATGAATGCATCGATCATGGCTCTCACACACGAGCATACTCTGCAGTTGAAGCGGAAGGATGAGTTCATCCGCAACCTGTGTAACTCTCTAAACATGGTAGAAAGCCCAGGTGTACAGAAAGTTGCTGCCAGTCCAATCAAGTGTCTGGAGAAGATACTCAGCCAACGGGCGACCGTGGCAAAGGAAAAGGCTGCTGAGAAAGCTGACAAAGTCTCAGCTACCGCCGAGAAAGCACGTCGCTATGTCACTCCTAAAGGTGCCACTAAGGCCTGCCCTCTGCCTCCATCATGTGCCCGTTCTGCTCTGCAAAAAGCGGACCAGAAAACTACAACGGTGGTCACTCGAAGAATGACAAGAAGCTCTCAGCAGACTCCTCAGTCTCCATCAGCTAATTTGCCAAAGACTCCACCTCTTCCACGTTTCTTCTCTCCTTCTAAAGCGGAAGAGCAGTTCGCAAGCTGCAGGAAGAGAACATTCTGGGACATCACCAACAGCCCAAACAGCCACATGAGGTCTCCACGATTGAGCATGGGAGGCGGAACTTCACTTCTCCGACAGGTAATAGCGTCGTCAGCCTGTAGGAAAAGTTGTCGCATTAATAGATTTCCTTTCACGTCATGAACTAGTTCCAGACTGGTTGATTTGATTAGAATCAACGCTGGCTACGCTTTTACTCTGAAGTATCGTATGGAAAAAATTGCGAAGCTTGAACTTTCTTTGGACATCTTTATGCTCTTCCTTACAATGTAAAATGGCTGATCTTTCTGTTGCGTGTCATTTCTTCCAGCCCGGTTTCGCACGCCGGAGAACATCTCCAGAGCAAGATTAGGGGATGAAGCTCACAAAATTGGAAATAAATCAGCTGATCTGATGCCTCCACGACTGTTGTGGTCGCTCACATGAGGTAATTTGCAAGACGTTTTGCGACTTAGGTGGCATCCTCGAGGCCGTGAGTTACATTCCTATTGATCGACCCCCCATACTTGAACTTTATGGCAGTTCGCTATTTTACAGTTCACGACCATGAGAGATCCGTGTACAATTCTTGTAAAGTAAAACGATGAACCTATTTGCTGCAAAACCAGAGGACATTCTGGTGGTACTGTAGGGAGGTTGGAAGTACAGTTCATGATTATGAAGGTATTTTGCAGCTCGTATGATACTGCGAATAGTTCCAGTAAGAACATAATTGTTGGGACCCAAAAGCAGGCGGAGTGGGAGGAACGCTGGTGGAAACCGCGGCGATACTGTTGTGCAAACGGTTCATGACACTTCGGTGTCATGCAAATAAGTATTAATCAAATTATCTGCTGCCTATGTTTGAAGGTACGGAAAGAGCTGCTTCAAATTGGCTCATTTAACCATTTATTTTAGTCTCACATATGAGAAATTGTCACATTAACATTTTTCTCAATCAAGAGGCACAGTCGGCTGCCAATTTTGGGAATCATTGTGCTTGTCAAGAATATGACATTCGTGAACGAAGTTGAATTCACATTTTGTATACTTCAACTCTGGTAATGGGTAGCAATCGACGACATATTTTAACGTTTACAATTGTCTTCATTGCGGAATACAGATTCAAGGGAGAACAAAGATGTAGTAACAAGACCGCACACAATAAAAACAAATACTTATTCGTGAAACAGAAAATAATAAGGTGTGTAAAAAAAACTTTGGCAAATTAGTGTATGTACACTTTAGCAGAGACAACTACTGAATTAGAGCGAAGACGGTTATTTAGTTCTGTCATTTTTTTCTGCCACACTTACTTGTCTACTGTGCTCTCCAGTAATAGTGTTTGTTCTGGGAATGTATGCATTGAAGTTCACTCTTGTGTACCAGTCAGTACTTTCTCTACCGAATGTACTGGTAATGTACTGGTAGTTTGCATCTTTAGTATCATTCCACTTCTGTCATTTGGGGAAATGAAAAGTGACATAACATGTACACCAAACAATTTTGTATATAGCAATTGTCCAAACCTTTCTTGAAGCATTCGGTTACTCAGATCTTTGAAAAGAAGAATTTTTGATAACACATATCTGTCTAGAAGTATCAATCAAGAACTGAAGTGAACGACGATCAAAGCTTTAATTTTCAGAGTAATAATCAAAGTAGGATGCATCTTCTTCGACCTTATAGATAGTCACTGATAGACGCGTAGGGATACCTATCTAAGATAGAAAGGTAAAGGAGTCTACACGTGAGACAGACACATTAAGTTGCACAACGTCACGAAGTTCACGAACTCTAGCAAGAAATGTTACATCTTCAAAAGAGAACAAGCTTTTGTGGGACCGATTCCTAACATTTCAAGGTTAGTAACAGCAGCAAGCAATCTCAAGATGTTCCTTCACGCTGACCACCTAGATGATGAAGTGTTCAGATACGAATACAGACGATGGTATTACAACCTACTCCAGATAAACTTGGAAAATTCAGTTCAGTTTCAGTTCACCCGCACCGCACATGTTTAAAATAAACAATTTCAACTACGTGATTTACTGGGTTTAATCAGGGTCAAAGTGAGTGAGGAGGTGAATGGTTGGATCAGGATTCCGAAAGACAATGCTCGAGAAAGAACGATTGAGAAAAAATCTTCAGCTCTAGACTTCTCTTTGAATAATGAAGGTAGCACAACTGGGGACCGGATGAGAAGAATGAGGGCTTATGAACAATCCAGAGATTAGTAAACCAACGTGGATCGTAAAACTGACCAATTTTTCCTGTAAGGAAAGGATGCCCCTCACCAAGTGCAAAGGACCAGATTAACTTAATCAGCACTGGAGATTCCTGAAGGTTTATCACATCTGTATTGGATACCAGTATTCTCTTTAGATGATTCACAAACTGAAAATTCAAACAGATCTCTAATATTTATTCTCCAGATTTTAGACTGTGGAATAACAACATTCGAGTGGTTCAATTCTCAGATCACATGTAGCACTATGCGAAGCTCAAGCAGATCAGTTCAGCTAAAACTTCACTATCCGTAGGACACGATCCATCCGGAAAAGTCCAAGCTCCATGACAGTGCATGAGCCTTTGGCATCTTAAAATTGACAGCACTTCGAACCTCAAAGCGGTACATCTCAATCCGGACTGTTAAATCTGAAAAGACTTTCGTTTGAATGTAAGCAAGTGAGAAGACAACTGCAATCCACACGAATGACGAGATTTTATAGGGGGCAGGAATTTGAAACAAGAACTCCGTCAATAATATGGCTCGAGCGTGCCTTAGCACATAAAGCACCAGCTCCCAGTGAGCTCAATGAAATCAATCAAGGGCTGAATCACAAACACCCAACAAACGCAGATGGCGAACCGAAACCAGTGTACAGTACAGACCAGGCTTGCAGCAGCTGCACTCATCTGTATGTAAGCGTGAGAGGTGGTTCTCCGCACAACGCCTCTAGCAAAATCAGCACAGACCCACACGCTCAAGGCAATTGCACGCAGGATAAGGCAGCAATGACGACTGGATCCCGACGCAGGCATGAAAGCGTGGCCTGATCACTGACAAGGCAAGCACTATAAGTGTGCATGGAAGGCCTTATCTAATCCACATTCACCCGTGAGGACCTCCGAACTGGATAAGATTTTGTCCGCGAGTCAAGGGGCAAGGCCTTCCACTCAGCAAAAGGACGCCATGCTCGATGACAAGCGAAATCTACCGAGCGCAGCCGTGGTTCACAAAACCTGAATCGACAAGCTGCAGGAAAGATTGCACGTACATGAGTGAAAGCAGCGACGAGAAGGGTCAATTCAGTTGCGCCGAGCCGAGTCGAGTCGAGTTGAGTCCCGATGGGGGCGGGTACGTTACGTGGAGGTCGAGAAGCAAAGTCGAGGAGGAGAAATTGGGGGCTGAGTGGCAGATTCTGGTATTCAGAAACTTACATCTGGAGCACGGAGAATTCAGCACTCTCGCTCCAGATGTTAGTCTCTAAACAGCAGACTGTGCCACTGGAGAAGCCTAAATTTTGCATCCTGATCTGGTGAGTGTCTCAGAAGCTGTGAGATTCGATTCGAGGGCGTTGCTCCGAGTAAAACCTGCGCAGGATCAGATCGTGGCCACCTTGTAACCACAATCGAGCACCGACTGGCAAGAGCATGAGCTCATGGTAGATGTGCACAATGTCGTGGGTGGCAGATGGATTAGGTGAAACCCCGCTGGATTAGGATATGGTTACCAACCAACCCCTACCGGAACTAGTGAGAAGTTAGAACGGAAGTTCCTTGCATCGAAGCTGCATTCAACACAAGTTCAGGAACCAATCTCACACAGAAGGTCGGTCGTACTCAGCAAGGCATGCGGGACTCGGGAATTCTAGATCTCGTCTCTGCTGATTCAAACTTGTACAGGAGCACGGTCGCCGTACCTGAAAGCCGTGGATTCGCAAGTGGATCTGATTTGGAGTTCCAATCGAAAGACACGGCTTCGCTTAAAAAGAATCCGCCATCGGAGCTGCAATGACTTCATGGATGGGGCCAAGTCAATGCTAATTTCACACTCATGGCGCAGGAACTCTTGCCGAATTTGAAATGAATGTGATTACTTGCCTAATTGACTTTCGTCGAGCAAAACCGAAAAGAAACCTCATATGCCAAACGGCACTCTCAGAGGCTGGAACGATCGGAAAGTCAGCGTTTGACTTTAAAGATGTAGCTAGCAGCCCGGAAGATCCATCTGAGAAGACCTAGGTCCCGGATGGCTACTAGTAGATGTTGAACCATTTCACCCCAGCCTGTCTTTTAGGACACGTTATTATAGTTTAATCTCGCGCCCTCATTGCTTTACCTCCCCCTCGGCACTGGCTACAGTCCTGCCCTCAACTCAAGAGTGTTTATTTCCACTTACAGCACAGTAATTGCTCCTTGATCCAAAATGTGGGGAATCAGCTACAGAAGTCAAGAACCGGACTTTTTCAGACCTCCTCGGACTCGGACTCCGATGGGTCCAAGCGAAGAATGAGATCACACATTGTCCTATTGATTCCTGAACTCCATCGATCCTCTTATATATAAATAACCGGTGCGAGCTAACTACGGTTCCGGAGTGACTGGGCTCCGACGACCGACTGCAGCAGACTGTATGAAAAGCAGCAGATTTTTATTCTGATTATTCGTCAGGTTCATAGCCACCTGAAGCTCAGAAAGTTTCTCCGCCAAACGGTAGCTCGAAACGGATGAATGAATGAATGACTTCATGGTGTTTGGTGAGCTAGTAGTTCTGCCACGGCTAGCGCTAATGTGGTGGCTGGATCATTCTTCTGCACTGAGTCAGAGTATAACATGCTCTCGAACGCTTGTGCCTTTCATGGAGGACGATCGAGGATTACCATGCGCGAGACGAGACGGGCCGGCGGCAGCTTCGGGCATGGGGGAAATAATCACGGGCTCCGGATATTTCTCCACACCGGGCACGACTGGCCAGCGCGGCACTGTTGATAGATTCGCGAGGCCAGAGTCATCCATGTTCCGAATTGAAGAGGCCAAAGGTGCAGCGAAGGTGCAAGGCTGGACAGGAAACCTTTTGTTTGCAGAACATGAAGGAATTTGTCAGCACTTTGCCAGGAGAAATAGATAATGCCTTGTCCCGTAGTGCAGAACTGTGGCCCAACGATTCACGCATCCGCTCGCTGTACCGAGCGTACGTCCAACATGCTGCGTTGCGGTTTTGCGCTTCACTGTTCTCGTGACATTGGAGGTCGGTGGACATGTGAACAGGTATTGCGCATTTATCCGGTTTGTCATGATGAAATGAAGTGATTCAGTTGCAGAATGTTTGTCTTCAGAACGTGCTCTCACCGCCAAACCTCGCCATTGCCCCGACTCCTCCTCCAATCCTTCCGAGCCCACTTGGATCTGACCAACCACGAACCCTTCGCCCCCAACGGACCGCAGTAATTTCGCTGCGCCGCTCGAGCTTCCAGGAGATTCCAGTCTGCGGCACGACGCTCATCGTCGTCCCTGCTGCCATGCCATTCGCGACGAGCCTCGCAGGACAAGCGGCCGAGATCATATTCCATGCATATTCTCGCGGGCCATCGTGACCTCCCTCGTCCATGCGCTCGATCCCGTCTGACTCGACGACGGGCATGGCGATGGGCGATGTCCCCCCGTGATATTTCCCCAGATGCCGACGAATTCTAGAATCTCCGAGACCACCGCCTGCTGCTGACCCTGTTTTAAGCTTTTTATTTGCCCCTTATTCCTTTTGAGAGACAATCGGCGACAGGATCCGAGACTCTGAAAGGCCTCTGCGTAGATATTTGGTGCGGTTGGGGGAGGCCTCAGAGTTGCAACTCACATGCGAGTCGGACATTGATGACTGAAGTGAAGAAGCCGAAGAAAAAGTCCTCTCATGCACTCATGCACTCATCATCATCATCATCCTCAGCCTCAAGACCAACATCTGGATCACCTCTAAACCATCTCTCTAGTTCGACCACGACAGATGCCATACCTCTTCTTCCAATTTCACTTCACTCGCCCAATGTGATCGAGAGATGCCCTGGGGAACAATTGAAAAAGGGTGGGGGCAAGGTTAGCATCAGACCTACTGACCCGAGAAAAGCTTGCGAGGAGGAGGCTCGGAGGTGTATATGAATAAATTGGATCAGGCACAGCCTTGGGGCAAGCGCTAGGAAGCTCGGGGAAGCAATTAAAAGTGCAGAAAAAGCAGCAGGGACGTCCCTGTGCAAGCAGTCGGTCGGGCCCGGGCGGGCTCGGCCACTGGCTCTGCTTCTTTTGCGCATAGTTTAAAGAATAATATTAAATTGGGGAAAAGGCAGGCGGCTGAAGATCCATCCATGGGAATCGGAGACCCATGAGTGTTGGGCAATGGGCAAAGGGCATGGGGCATGGGGCATGGGACAGGGAAGGCGTAGTTTTGCAGCAGGTGAATCTGATTGTACGACCATCGGATTGACGATCTGCTCGCTGCGTCTCGATCGCCAGGAGGCCTCTCTGCTCTGGTGAATGTGCTGCGCCTGGAAATTTTGGCGCATCGACGGGTCTCGTAAAGGTTGAGACACGTGAATTCAGTCCACCCTCCAGCTCGCAAACGATTAGAGAGAGCAGCTGCGAACGAGACGTGCGCATGGTGGACACTTCTACCACCTCTTGAAGGGAAGCAGGGAAGGAGCGAAGCAGTTGTAGAAGGTCCCGAAAGAGCACAACTCGGTACATGTGAATAGATCACAGTACTGTACTGTACCTGCGAACGTTTTCAGGCATCGTAACTGAAGAGGTGCAATTCATGGCTTGGTTATTTTGTTCCTTCCCGCACCTCCCCCGATCGCTTTCTGTAAAGCGATCTTGCGCTTCTCGTAGGCCGAGTCGATGTCAGCCACTCGTAATCACGATTCGAGACGACGTCTCTCCCTCTCTACCTCTCCAGGCCGACTCCTCTGCCCGTTTGCTGAAACCACCGGAAGATCTCATCCTGCAGGGAGATTCCCGTGTTCATCTATTCCGTGAACACAATGTGTAAGTTGCACAATCTGAAAGTCAATCCCGTGACAGACACGAGGACTTCAAATTGAACATCTGAATATTAGTTTCCCAGTGACTGAGGGCTGATGCCACCTTTTGCTGCTACGTTCGGCAAGCGAATCGTTTCAGAACCTAGTCAGCGCGGGATTCAACTGTGAGGTGAGGTCTGATGGCTCCCGTGCTCCTGCCACTGCAGGAGCACGGATGGCCCAAGCCCAAGATTAGTGAGTAAGTGGGATGGAAACTCAGGAGATTGTCGGGGTGGTATGAGCAAGTGGATAGAAAACTTCTCTTTCATTTTAAGGAGGCGTCCATCGTTTGTTTGCTTACGGAGCTGGAGATGAAGATGAAGATGGTGGACTTAGCTCCACGCTTCCGTGTCAGGAAGTATCACAGCGGTCTGCGGTGGTTTTGATGTTGGATGTGAGACTTGGAAGCAACAGCGCAATCTCCTATTTCGGGGCTGCGTACCCGAGTTTCCACCGAGACTCTTTCTTACTTTGATTCGCTCGGTAACCTCACAGAAACAATTTGTTTGCATCATTTCTGATCTCCACTGACGATGTACTGTGTCAAGTTACACGGTTGCTTAATGATGTCAAGGTGGGTGGATTTCTTATGAGGTGCTACGAGCACCAGTGGCCCGTGAAGTTTACCTCAATTGAGGCAGTAGATGACTGGTCGGCTACATCGGGACAGCCCCACCGGAGTCTCAGGTTCATCAAAAGACTCTCTTGTCATCATGGAGTAAAACAAGCCGACAGATTTCTCGTGAGAATCTGTCGATGACTTTTGAGGCCAGCACCCGGTTCGTTTGTGTGTTCTGAGGACAAACAAAATTCCACGCAATTATCGACTTAGAGTGTCGGCAAGACAGTAATTCAATGGTGAAGCTATTAAGTGCCCACAGGCCCTCTCTACTGAGTCAAAGAACATCCTCTCGAAAGTCACTCAAGATCGAGTAAAACGAGCTTATCCAAGCTGATGCTTTTGGATCACCATTCTCTAACCCCACTGAACAAGAGATACTGAAGTGATACATGACCCAAGTAATCAAGCAGGAACATAGTACTGTACATGAAAAGTGTTCAGCTCTCATGGACGGAGGTTGAGTTTGGGTTTGGCTAACACGATGTAAGTTTGATTGGTAAAACCTTCGGAACAATTGGTACGAGGTCGACAGCTTATCCAATCTGTTCCAGTCCATGTACCGTCCGGCCTCTGCGTGTGCATAAGCAAAATCTAGGGAACTCTTGATCTGGAATTGGTCGCAGAACTGCCATCAGGACCAGTGTCGTTTAGTACCAACTTGGCTGATTTGGTTTTAGGCCAGATACGCACGGCATCAGACGACAATCCGGCATTGCAGCTCGTCCTTTCCCAGCAGGTGGGCATGAATAGCGCCAAAATAAACCCAGCAGTTGAGCTTTGGCAATGACAGGATGCTGAGTATATCTGCAAACGCTTTGGCTGATAAGAAGCTCAGTGTGTCTGAGAGTGAACTCGCTCCCTCTTCTGTTTGTAGATGACAAGGTAGATGACATACGCACGTGATCGACCTCCTCCCCAACGCCGGGATTCAGACTTTGGCTGTTTTCCGCAACGTTAGGAGTTCGGACTTTCGATTATTCCCACGTGTGAGTACGGCTGTGTCCATCATAGGCATGGATTCTAGACCGTCATGTTCTTGACGATCACACTCTCTAGCTACCTGGTCACATAAAATGACTTCACGTGGAGCCACCCGGAAATCATCGTATATGATTATCAAGGATATTCACAGAAAAACTAGGTTTTGCTTTCTATCCCCTTGTCCATTGTTTATCTTCCTCCTCAGAGTCATGAGTGAGTTCTCCGAACGTAATACAGTCAAGTGTTACGAATACTTGACTTGCTTTTTGCTTGCCGCGTTCGTGGTTTACGGGTTGCTGCCGGAGAAGTCACATTATGAAGGAGATTGCTGGATAGGGATGAGATAGAGGGTCATTCGTGAATAACTGAAAGCCTTTATTGTTGCCTTCCGTCCAACTCGCCATGATGCTACGGATATAATACAACATGACCTGCGACTGGTATCACTATTACCTTTTCACCACTCTTATCCTGCTTCAATCCACAATGGGGGATTAATAGGCATTCCAAAGAAGGACTAATCGTGGAAGGAGTAACATTTTTTATTCTGATCTTGGGCCAGGCGCCTGAAAGTTTCTCCGAACTTCCTCAGTCTCATCACTGTCTGAAGTCCAGTTTCCACGGGATGTGCTACTATATGACATCAAGACTAAAAGCCGCCAATACGTAGACGGCCGGAAGTTTCTGCGTGCGGACAGCACCCCTCGTAATACACACTCACATGTGGCAGGAATTGCTGGATGCTTGCACTACTAAGAGCTTGGATTTCGAAGGACGAACTGCTCACTCACAGGACCTACTGTAAAGTTAGCACAATGGGCGAGGATCAGACGGATATTCTTGGCAACAGATGAGTCAATCATTTTCATGCGTTTAACGAGCATACGAGGCTTTTTACAACAAATATGATTACCCACTCAGCTAGTATGACTTCACGAGCACGAGCCAAATAATCTTGAACCGATCAAAATCGCCTCCAATGAGATTGGAGAAAAAAATCAAGCCGCTTGGAGCCATGCCATGTGTAGACATGAGATGCTCCCTCAGTGGTCTCAGCTTTCCTCCACCCCGGACAGAAGAGAGTGTACTCCAAAAATCAAAAACAATACTCCTCCACAAAGTGAGACCTGCAAATGCTCCAGTCCAGTGCTTATCAATACTAAGACACTGTACTGTGGGTAATTAATCACAGTCAAGAGAAGTGTCGTTGTAACCCGTTGGCATTAGGTAGGAGAAGCATAAAAGAGCTACACAAATCCATCTCTCTTCCTATGCCACTTCATACTTGCGCATTTATTTGGTACTGCAATCTCCCACCTAACAAAAGTCACAAGATGAATTTTGCTACTCACTGCTTTTTCTGAAATTTGAGTTGCTAAATGCTTGCCTCCCAACACCGCAGCTGTCGTGCAGATGGCATGACCGCTGTAAAGACAACAGGACACAATGTTAGATTTACCAAGTCGGCGTGCTCAAGGAGTCCATGTCTACAACCAATAGCTTATGAGCATAAAACCGCAAGGTCGTACTGCTTGTTTGTCCCATTCAATAGATTCACAAATACAGAGTTCAAGACTCATGAAGGTTTAGAGTTCATCAAACACGAATTATGTACAACTTCGCCTCATCATGAGGAATAAGTGATACCGAAGTGACACAAACTAAAAACTATTGCTGTCATGGACATTTTCAGTTTCTCTATTAAGTGTAAACAGGGTTAAAAATCTTACAGAATGCCTCCAAGAGCTACTCCGGTGACACTTTCTTGCGCAGCAAGACCTATGGTGGCAATCTGCACCAAGACCAAGCATATTAGTCTCACATTAACATACTGGGAAAAGTGTATTGTCATTTAAAATTTAGCTCCACTCATCGAATAATTCAAAAAATACAATTCAGCAGGCGATAAATGATCTTTGCCTTACCTGACTCCTATCACCCCATTCTCCAAGGAATGTAAGAGAGAAAGTCTGCATCAAACTAAAACATAAGTTTCTATGTAGATAAATCTTTTCAGATAATACAGATATACATGAATCAGCACGAACCTATCGTCTTCAACTGTTCAGATTTTTAACAGAAACGCTTCTGCTAATTAAAATCGCTTAATCTAAAAACTTTTAAAATGCCTCATGATTAGTCGGCAAATCGAGCTGATGATGTAGAAGATATAAACATCGATAGGCTAGTACATGTAAGAAGGCATCTAAGCTTCCTACTATAAATCTCTTAAAAATAAAGTATGAACTCCAATTGGCCTGCAAATGTCAGCAAATAAGAATTGGATACACAAAATGTGCACATACATCTTCACAAATGTACACACTCTAGACATACCTCTATGAGAACGGGAGATAAGTATTGGAGAGCCAGATTTCCTCTTTTGGGATTATCCTTCACCTGCAGTTGGCATGGGTAGTACCATTAAATGGATAGATATTTTAGTACCAATAATAACAACCCTGATCTGAAAGATCGGTGACATAACGGGATAAACATTAAAGAGAAGAGTACTTAAAAACAAAAGATGATAAACATGAATCCCATCTAAAGTGAACTGACAGTACCCCTTGAGTTTTCTCCGAAGGTTTTTTGCCATCACCATCCTGCGAGGACCAAAATCCAGGCGTGAATTTGGTGAGTAGTGAACTACGACCTAGCAAATTAGCTGAAATTATGTAATTCGTCTTTCCTAGGAGACATACCATAAAAACAGAATCATGTCATGCTTAAACCACATGGACACATTACAGAGGGGAATGAAATGGGGTAATTGTTCAGAGAGATATAGAATGTGACAAATCTCGTGTGATTTTCCAACCATAATAACGGAAAAGATTCACAATCTATATCCTTATTGTATGCCGTGCAAGTTCAAATGTCAATTTCAGTGGGACTCACCAACTCAGCTTCAACCTCTGCTAACTCCGAAGACATGCTGCATAAAGCAAGAAGATTGCTCTAAGATTAGCGCCCTGATTCTTGATTACTTTAAAAACGTTTTGTGCAACAAAAGTCGTAAGTTACCTTTATAGCAGGATATGAATGTGATTACTTTCTAAAGTCCTAAATCTCAATGGGTTAAATTCACTAATTTCAACACGGCATGTGCATCGGTTGCGGAGTGCCTCGACTGAGATGGCGACTAGATCAATGATTTTGCTCCCTAATACTAAAGTGTAAAGATTGTCGCTGTTACCTGTCCTCAGTTGTAAATGCCTGCCACAAAGAACGCAAACCAAAGAAGAAAAAAAGGACTGTTGCTGCATTTTGCGTCAACCGGCGTGATATCTGCAAGCAGAAGCAAAACGGAGAACTTTGTTAGCATGTCTTTTTCTTCGCAATCGATTGTGAATTATGTCTCTTATTAGGTGATATATATATTTCTTGAAAAATCATGATACATGATCAAGCAAAAATGAATGTGAAAATAAGTTTGCTTGCGTCAAACTCCTACCACCCGTTCAGATTCTTCATTGTGCAAGCAAAAACTTTCAAAAAGGAAAACAGAGAGCAAGAATGACCGTGCTTTACTCCGCAATTGAAAATAAAATAGTGCTTGAAGTCGAAGTAAGGCTTAGGCATACTAACCAAATTTGGGGCAGCCCATCCAAATAAAGCGGAAAGGACAGTCATTAGCTGCAGCATAAAAGTGTGATGTAGATGATCAGCTAGGCACAATGAACACTGAAAAAAACCCGGAGATTTTTTATTGATTCTAGGCCTCAGGCCTTTGAGAGCCTTTGCGACCTATTATAGTTAAAGTCTATTAAAAGTCATCCAAGCCATCTGACTATAAGAGCTAGGTTCAATACAGCCTTTTACAGCCCTGCTGAATTCGGATGAGGAAAATGAACGCAGTATGATGGATCCCGATATAAAAGGAGCACAAAACTAAGATGAGTTGCAAAAGGCGAAAGGAAAAATGGGTAAGAACAGTAGAACTTACCCCTAGTGCGCCAAGGGCTCCAGCAAGTACCACTCCCCGAGGATGCCGCATTGCCATCAGCTACACGAATAACAAAGCATTGCACAGGGTGGTCGGTGGACAATGTTCAGGCACCATATAGGCAAAGCACACAATTATGGAGACAACGATTCTCTGCGAATTAGACAATCGCAATATCGAATTTAATAGAGCACATTTGAGGAGTGTTACAGAGAAACTGCGAAGACATTTATTCATACCGCAGCAACAAAGAAGGTTTTGTCTCCAATCTCCGAGACTAAAATCATAGCCGATGCCTTCACAAAACCCTGCATGTTCACACAAATAATTATGATATAGCTGAGCTACTAAACTATACTTTAGCATACTTTGATCCCTGCATCAGTAGCTAGATATATTGAACATTTCCGATTTGCAATCATTTGAGTAACCCCAATTACCACATAAATTGTGTAAGTGTAACTTCCAACAAAGATGACGAACTAAGATTTGGAACACACGGTCATACATATCACGCTTTGGTGAGACAAAGTCAGGTAAAGGACCCTGCAATTTTCAAGGTGCTCCTCTCTACTATGCAATAACCGTCCAACGCGATCCTAACTAGCCCCTGCTGTGTATGCAGGAACGAGGAACACAGGGATTGATCCAGATACAAAGCGTCTATTAGGATTCAATAGGGCCAACGGGTCGGCAAATAAGATGATGGGCAACTATAATTATTTGAGTCATGAGACATGTCCCGTCGTGAGCCAAGCCTTGCACAGCTATCGACACGTCAGCCATCCAACACATTCAGACTTTTGAGGATTTGGTACGCCCATTCGGCATCTCTCTGCAAGTATTGACAGCAGGCACTAAAACCAATTCATAAGCAAGTCAGAAGAAAACGAAGAACGTAATCGTTCATCGTTGCCTACAAGCACCCCACCGATGCACAGTCGTCCGAGAATCGCTCCTCCCAACTGTTCACGGTGAATCAGCGTAAGACAGAGGTAAGGGTGTAGGAGACAACCCCAGTAGCGAAGCGTGGCAGTACAAACACACTTTCGTAGCGAACTCTGAGACCTCACTCCATACAGCCAATACTGCGTCGTTTTCTTGGCCTGTCTTTTGACCATTTGAGGATATTCGGGAGCTTCAAGCTGTGTGCCCTATGGTCAGACACTTTTGTTTAGGTCAACATGACTATAAAATTTCCAAGCACGGGGAAATGCGTAAGGCGACAGCAGAGGGGTGAAAATTAGCATTTTACTCCAGCAGGTATTGACTTCGCCGATATTCCTCAAAGGATCCGAATATGTCATCAGCGCTTGCGCGACTGGCTCAAGACAAAGGCTCCTCTTTCGAGCGAATGTTTTAGACTCTCAGACATGCTGCACCCCGTGCTCTGACGCCCGACTGAGCAGTTCCAGTCCAAGGCCCTTACATGTCCGCATCATAATCAACGAAGCTCGGAGACTATGTGATTCATAAATATCGTCAACAACCAGATGGAGGCAGAAATCCCTGCAGAGGTCTTTTAATTGGGGATGGCAGTTCACGGGTGGATCCCACATGTTGCCATCAGGCGGCACCCGAGTCCTAGATTTGCATTGAACGGCTTCGTCCCCCTTCAATCCAAGCTGAAAGCAAATGATAAACCTTTCTCTCTATGCATCGCTATCGAACCCCACCCATCTGGACCTATCAGAGTGCACTTGACCCACAGAACTGCTGGCCATTTCGATCACGTACTGACCTGCATGAAACTATGGCCGGGGATTGACTGATTGTTTGCTTGATTGAGAGATGGACAGAGGTTGAAAAGTAGAAACTTACCTCAAAAACAGAGTGCCCCATCGCGCCCGCGCCTCCAACACTTCTTCGATAGACTGGTAAACTAGAGCCTGAACGGAAGAAGATGAAAATCGACAGACAAGTTTCAGAGGAAGAAAGGAAAATAACCAGCATGGTGAGCCAGGTCGAGAACTGAATCCGACTGACCCCCAGTGCTGAATCTCGACACCCAACTGCACCCAACACATCCTCCCCGGTTCGCCCAGATTTCCTCGGCTCAGCACCATCCAGCCCCTCTGCTCTTCGCGGCCAAACATGCAAAAAACTCGTCCTCATACACGTGGTAATCAGCAGCGACGCGAAGCACAGGTACGACGGACTTACCTTCGAGTTTACGTGCGAATTCCGCCGCAAATTCCTACCAGATTCCTCTCATCGCGCAATTTCCAAACACAACCCCTTAAATGCACAACACTTGCACGTGATCTCTCTCTCTCTCTCTCTCTCTCTCTCTCGACACACGCACACACACATACAATCACCAACGGACTGAATCGTGGAGAGCCCTACACTTGAGCTCCAGGCAGACACGCAGAGAAGAGCAAGGGCGGAGAAGAGCAAGGGTGCGGCTAGATCTAGAGGAGACGACAGTTGAGGGGGCACTGTCACGAGGACCCGCAATTGAATCCAGGAGCGGAGTCTCACCGGAAGGCCACAGTCGAGCGGACGAGAGGAATGTCGGAGTGGGCGACGTTCTACATGCGACACCGACAGCGAGTCTGGCACGCGTGTGCCTTCCCGGAGTCTCCCTACCCGTGCTCCTGCTGCATACGAGCCTCTGCCCTGGGCCGCAATAATTCTTACCAGAAATACCGGCGCGTTCGAATTTTTGTTCCACTCCCAATCGTCTGGACACTGACGACTGGATCCGGGTTCCAGGCCGTGGTGCAGGACGAGGACGAGGAGCTCAGCTGCCACACGTCGAGGTCCCTCTTCTTCTCCCGACTCGCTTAGTTGCACAAACTTTTACAAACGGCCGTACTGCCAGGTGTCAGGGATCCCAGTTTCTTTCTCCTCTTTCTTTCTTTCTTCATCCTCCCTTCGGGCTGCCCCGGATCACCCGGATTTTATCTCAGTTTTGGGAACGGGGAGGCGGGGCACTTTGCGGCAACCATGTAGAGGCCGCAACGTTGTATGTAGTGCGTTGCAATGATCTACGCCGCAACAATGATCGCAGTCGTGTCGGGGAACGTTGCGGGAAAAAGAACTAAAACTGAACTGCAAGAGGGATAGCTCAGATGGAATCCCTAATATTCAGACTGTAATATTTGTAATGAAACGGTGATAACAAATTGAGGCGACGAAATTTTAAGCGGCAAAGATTAGGGTTTTTGAAAATAGAATCACATCAATATTCTCCAGCTCGTCGTTTTGACGTCGCTTTTGGGTGCCAATGTCAGTGCTTTGAGGAGCTCGTGCCAGAGCTCGTGCTTGTACTTTTCTTGTCATTTCAGGTGCTTTTGTAGGTGTGGTGACAGCATGGAGGCAGGATGGATTGTGCAGGATCCACCTTATGAAGGCCCTTTCAATTCGTTAATGTTGAATTGGTCAAATGGGACGGCCTACATCAAAAGCTCGAGGCTTCACGATTTTGTTTCGGGAGAGGGATCTTGTCATAGTGATGCGAAGACAGAATTTGTGACACGTTGCTCATACAAGGGTGGAGGTACTAGGCACAATTGGGAATCGTATGCAATGTATTATTGCAAGTATGGTACTCCAGAAAGGGGCAAGAAGAGTATGCTTTCCTCGAATTTTATTCAAGATCCATCAACGAAGGCAAAATTTGGTCCTGGCAGCAGGGATAGACTAGATCATGATTCGCATCACAAGGGCTGTCAGTGCAGGTTTAGTGCCATTAAACTGTTGTCTAATGATCACATTCCACCAGGAATCACAAAATTGATATACAAGCATAGAAGACACGTAAATGCTGCAGGTGTAGCTTGTCATGGCACAGCGTGTTCAGATAGTGTTGGCTTGCCATCTCAAATGGCGCGCAATTTATCCTCTGAATGCAGGTAACGGCATATTTGTTACATTTTCAATATATTTGTTTATCGTTCACAGTCAATCTCCCGTCATATTTGTAATATCTACAATCAGTTTGTTGTTATTACAGTTTGTAAAACTTTGACACTAAGCAAGCACGTTGTCTAATATTTTCTACGTTCTTATGCCAGGGAGTGGGTTGAATGCGAGTTAAGAAGAGGTTTAACTCCTCCACAAATTCTCATGCGTGCTGCAAAAGCACTGTTTGAAAATCATCAGCGCTTAGGCTATGTGCAAGGGTCCCCTATTAGAGATCTTTATATCACATCTGCCGATGTGTATAATATCAAATTGGAACTGGACAAAGAAACTTGGAGAAGGCATGCTAATGATAGAATTAGCACAGAATTATGGATGAAAGCGAATTCATCTCAAGTTGTTTTGTATCAGGCACCAAAAAGTGATCCATTTAAACCATTGAGGCTTGCTGTTACAAGACCCTTGCTCCTAGATTGGTTGCTAAAACATGGAAATGGAGGTTGTGTTGCTATAGATGGAACGCATGGCACGCAGAAGTATAAGGTAATATTCTACTACCACATTTTGATGTTTTTATCATCAAGCTTCCATGATTATGTATATTCTACCTTACTATTTGCAATCTCTGCAAGATATTTGAAAAAATGACGGTTTGGAGCTTTAACCAATCCTGTAAGAGATTATTGAACGTCTCAATGTGTGATGTATATGTTGTTTTATATACCTTGATCACGTCTAAATTATCAAGACATAAAAATAGCGAATCATTCATTTGTATCAGGTTTAGCTTAGTATCAATGAAGATGAATACTTTGTAGACGATTGCTAGCAGCAAACTGATACGTTTATTTCATTTTTTGCAATGCAGTATCCACTGTACACCCTGATGGTGTTTGACGAATATGAACACGGACATCCTACTGTTTTTGGATTCCTCGAAAAAGAAGAAACAGAAGATCTGGTGGATTTATTATCTGCAGTGAAGAAGATGGCCCAACATTATATCCCTGGATGGATGCCCTCGTGCTTCATGACGGATTGTGCTGACAATGAGAGACTTGCCCTAGACATTGTTTTTCCGCATATCCCTGTATTTCTTTGCATATATCATGTTCGAAAAGCATGGACAAAGAAATTGATTGAGGTTGTGAGTGGTCATGAAAAGAGAGCTATTATGAATGCTGCTTTAGAAGACCTGTGCTTTGGAAGCACATTAATTGCTGATGGAGAAGAATTTGATGTGGAAAGATCTGCTGCGATGAAGCTTCTGTTATTTTACAAAAAATTTCAGCTCTCTGAGCCACAATTTGTGAAATACTTTCAAAAAGAATGGGAACCTTGTATGGGTAAGTGTAAGTTTGTAACATGTGCATTATATTTGAAGTTATTACATTTTGGAAGTTGTTTTTTGCTTAATGAACTTCCACAAGCACATCTAACTTACTGTTTTGGAATTCAGGTCAGTGGATTCGTGATGAACGGAGGAAGACATGTCGTAACAATCAAGATACCAACAACGCTATGGAATCAATGCATGGACACATGAAGGATTTCCTTTATGGCTGGCGCAGGAATGCACATGAGCAACGTTTGGATCATACAGTATATGGTCTGCTAGGGGATTTTGTAATGAGAATTTGGTACAAAGATCAGAAGAAGCTACTTGGCTTTATTCCAAATAAGAAGAAAGATCAACGTGTGATTGCTGTGATCATGAAGACAAGATCTATGCTAACTGTCCCTGTTACTTGGCCTCATGGCTATGCAGGCCCCGCATTAGTGGGCTCTACATCAAAGCTAAATAGAAGGTATCTTGTAAATTGGAGACGAGAAAAGTATGCATGCGAGTGCTTCTGGTCACTCCAAGGCAACTTTTGCAAACATCAGGTACAACTCAGATTGTAATTCTGTTTTTGATTGCATATATTGGTCGTATCGGTATTTTTTATTAACACTGCTTGATTCATGTGTGTCTAGATTCTTATTCTACGAAGGAAAGGATATTCCGAGACCAACATCCGCATTTGTTTGGGCATACGGTTTGGTGGAATACGAGGTGGAATCAAAGAGCTCTTTGATAAAGGTACTTCATCACAGATATATGATTTCAATGAGGATCCAGTCCTTCGAAGAGAACTTGCAGATATTGAAGTCAAAGATGATTGCCATGACACCTTCAACCTTACAGAAGGTACTTCAAACTGTCAGTTTAATGTGCAATAACTGCATATATTTTGCAGAAATGACAGTTTGAGTGATGAAACTACCTAACCGTACATGTTCTATGTGTTATCAGATACGGACAGCCCTGTAAAGAAAGCATCAAAGCCAACAGATCTGGAGGAGGAAGAAAAGATCAAGCGTGTTCTTCATACTCAATTGGTATGGCTGAAGGACTTTTTTGATGAAAATCCTAGTATGCTGAAAGTGGGAGAGCTAGAGCTCAGGCATTGCATTGGACGTATCAAGGAGTCTCACCAAGCATGGAGTACTGGTAGAATACTTCCTGTTGCAGACATGTGGCGTACATCCATGCTAGATAAGCCTAGCTCATCATTCAGGAAATTGAGTTGGCTTGAAAAGGTGAGGACACCTGGTGAGAGGACACGACGTGCTAACATATGGCGATGAATTGAAAGTCGTACGTGGACTTCGATACTGGTTAGTTTCACTTACAAAAGTCTTCAATGGCAATTTTCAGACCTGTTTTTTTTTCCACTCTACCTAGATAGGCTCCAATGTAGCTCGAAAGAAGTGGTAGCTGATTTGCACATGTACATTTCAGCTTTTTGACCATGGGGCAAAGTATCCAAGTTATATGCTGAAGTCTTGCTGCTGTGATTTCTGGTTCTAGTTGGCAGTGAAGTAGAGCACCATTAAACTTGAGACTGGCTTCTGGTTGAAAGCTACACTGAGTGACTTGACCTGAATTCTGAAGTGGACAAAGTCGTTGTGACAATAGTTCCTAATTGTAGAATTCAGGTGTTATGCTTAATTTATGTTACATTGAATGCATGTGTTTAAGAGACTTTGGGAATTTTTGTTTGTGCTGAACTTGAATTCTCACAAGCTCTCAACGCCATAAGTGTCTGCTCCCCTCCCTCCATCCTTTGCATCTGTTTGTTCTCTGATGGTGCAGCTGACCATTTCTATAAGTAGATTTCGCACGAGATATGTAATTCGCCTCGATTTCAGGTTTTGTCTCATCCGACAGAAGTTGCCAGTTATCAGACGATGTACTCAAAAGCTGGCAGAAGTTCCATCAGAGTAGCTCTGCAGAATACGTCTGTCTATTATATATCAGAAATTTTTCATGAGTCATTTGAGTTTTACATAATTCACCTGAACTTAGGACAAATATGTCTCTCGTTCTTCTCTAAATTCCGGTTTGCTGACTTTGATAGCTGCTGCCCGATGAGGTCCATGGATATATTCGACAAC